ATTTATCTAGGAACTCAGTGAAAACTTTGTTCCACGGAACCTAAAGCTCATCCAAAGGAGTTCAAATGAGTGGCAGTGCTCTTTTTTTTTGTGTAGAAACCAAGTTCTAATCACTTATTAGAGGTGATTTAATAACCCCCACTAACAGCTCCTCCTGCAAATTCTGGCTGGTAAATCCCATGAGGAAAATACATTAAACTTGAACTAAAAGCCTGTTTAAATTGAAGTACAATTTCCTCTGGAGGCCCCTTTTCCAGCAAGGCTGGGTTTCTAACACAGCAGCCAAAGCCATGAGCTGAACACCAACATTCTGCCAGCTCAGGAGAAGGAAATTCAAACATGAATACTCCTTGCTCAACTTTTTAATTGTATTGGCTTTTTAATCTTTCTGTGCTAATACTGAAGCACTGATACAGACCTATGTCATTACACACTTAGCTTTCTCATTATTTTCCAGTGAGCAATAATTGCAGGAGCTCTGGTTAAAAGGGAACTCAGTAATTACACTGATGACTCGGTAAATTAGAAGAGACTGTAGCAAACTATATATTGTGATGGGAGTTTTTAGATTTTACATTAATCACAAAGGGAAATGATGGAATTACAAATTGATGGTGGCAAGAAGCAGTTTGATATAAAATATTAGGAAAATAAAAACTGTATTAATTTGTTATGCTGTATTGCACAGAAAAATAACCAAAATCTACAGTCCTATAAAGAAACATACCTTAATAAATGGGTACAAGCTGCATAAAAGGAGAAGTAATGACTTGGTTAAAGCTCAGAGGGAAACAACGCCAAAGTCACGCACCTTGAATGAAGAATGAGTAGATGGATCTGATAGATGGTGCTTTTTTTTAGAGGAAACCTCTGTTCGGAGTGCAAGTCACTCCAGCTAATGGCTAAGTGATGTGCATTGACAATCACATTAGCCCTTTTTGCTATTTTAGTCAAATAAGGCTAATCATTTAGCGTGCCTAATTTATATAGCCATGAGGGCAGGTTATCAGTACAGATGTACCGAGGCATAAAAGACTTGGGAGCACTGACCTATCTGTCAAATTTGATCAGGCCCAGTGAAATTCAATTTGTTAATCTTGCCTCACAACCCTCCCTCATGCTAATAGGTTTTGTGCTGCCCTGAGAATGAGCACAGGCTGCAATGAGACTTCTTGGCTGGATTCATCAGAATCACGCAGGAGAGATGTTACCTCCTGGAGCAAGGGGTGGTGCCACAGACATATTTCATGAAAAATCCTTTTGGTAGGATCTTTTCTCCTGAGAGGCTGGGAAGCTTCAGCTTCTCCATGTTTTGCTGCTTTGTAATGTGATTTAGAGATTTGTTTACCCGGAATGTGAAATTGTTCTTACTTGACCAATGGCAGCCACCTGTGTCGAGGCTGTGAGCAGTTACAAGATTTTATTATCATTCCTTCTATTCCTTGCTAACCTTCTGATTAAATCCTTTGTATTCTTTAATATAGTTTTAATATATCATTTTCTTTAATATATCATAAAATAATCAATCAGCCTTCTGAAATATGGAGTCAAGATTCTCATCTCTTCCCTCATCCTGGGACCCCTGTGAACACCACCACAGGGCAGGACTTCTAGAATCGGAAGGCTAAAAGTGCAGATCCGTAAATACTTGTAATATGTATTTGCATATACTCAGTTCTTACCCTAAATGGCCACAATCCAATGTTTTATTGATAATAAGAATAATAATTTATTCTTAATAAAAGAAACAAGGGCTGATTAAAGAGCTAGGATGCTCCCTTTTTGCATGTGTACATATACATTTATACTCAAGCTTCAAAAGTTAATATACATCTCTGGACTTCCCAATTATCTAAAATGGGAGTAATGCTAACTTTGTGCCTAAAGATGAAGTTTCTGAGGCCAACAGAAGTGTGTGGCTCTCCCAGTAGTCACTCATGCCTCATTGCAAAATAAGATGTCTTTTTTATCAGCTACCTAAATTTACTTAGGTAAACTTAGGTCTTTGAATCCTGGAGATGTCCATAGATTCTGGATACAGTGAAGTGAAATAGCACAAGCTCTTAAAAAATGACTTTTTGCTTTTTTCTGTCAACGCTAAGAGCAGCTACATTTGTACAGATGATTTTTCCCACGTTTGAAGCTCTACCTGGATGGGATGTTTGACAACAAACCCAAATGTTTTCTGCATCAAAAACAATATTCAAATAATTTTTGCTTGGCCATTTGATCTTACCAATACGACAGCTGAACCTGTTTTTAAAGTGAGCTTGGAGAATCATTATCTGGATACAATTTCCCAATTCTCCACTGATTGGAGGCTTATCAGCTGTTGCAGACCATGGGATGACATACAGTGTTTTAATTCTTGATAATTGTCTAATTTCATATGTATTGTGTGATTGTGTATATTGTTTGAATGATTCCTAATTGCTGTCAGCACTACATTCACTGTTCTGCTCTGATGTTTCTGCGTGCTTGTAACCAAAGGAAGTTAGAAAGTTTCAGCACAGCATTACAGTCATCCTTTCAAATGAGTTTTCTGCCTTGTATTTTCTCTCACCACCACACAGGACAAGAGACCATTCCTGTTTCCCAGTCCCTGCCCAAATTGCATACAGAAGCTTACTGGATTGAATTAGGGAGAGTCAAACTCAAAATTACCATTCTGTGCCTCAGTTTCAGACAAATTGGGATAACAGCTGTATCCAAGTATAGACTCCAGCAGATCTGCTTGGTCCTTCAGTCATGCCAGAATATTCAAGAAATTGTTCTGGAACACACAGAACATTGGCTAGAGGAGAATGACAACAGACTTAACCTGTCTTAAAAAGTTTTATCTATTCCTGGCAAGAGAAAATAATAAAGAAGTAGGTCAAAAACCTTTCCAAACAACTGAGTTTTTCCCTAAGTATGGGAACAAATCAATATGTTTCTTTGTTAGTACAGGCAGATATAACACTGAAATTATATGGGAGGCATTCAATTAACATCCATGAGGCTTGACATATGCCCTGTCTGGGAAATTATTTTGTTTCTTCTCCCATTAGATATTTTATAAAAGCCTGTTCTCAATGTTATGATGCCTATCAGTGGACATCAGACTGAAAATATAAGCAATGCAAAGCCACAAAGTCAACTCTCCTGGAATGGTTGCTCATGACCACTGTGGAAATAAACCCACTGGAGTTTATTTATGCCTGAATCTTTTTACTTTACCAGCACAGAACAGCTGCGATCAGCTGATTTCCAGGGAACAGTTCCTCCAACATCTGCATTAGTGTTCTACACCACCAAGACAGCCAAGTGATGGGGGTAAAAGTGATGTCATCACTTGAAAGCCTGGGAAAATTTAATTTTATTCCTTATTTATCAAGATTAAACCCTGAAATGGCATGGCACAATCTGAAAAAGGAGAAGGGAAAAGAATATTAAAATCAACCAACCAACCTCTGAACCAAAAGAAAAGCTGTCTTCTGGCCTCAATTGTTTTTCTGACATGAAACTTAGGAAAAAATTTTATTTTCTTAGGCTGTCACATATTGCTGTTTAATCAGTTCTACCACATATTAGGAGGCTATCTTTCCATACCATGAAAAAACACCCAGCACTAAACACCTATTGCCATAGCCTCACGACTTACAGCTCCTGGAAAAAAAACAAGGCTCTAATCTGAAAATCAATTTAAATAGAGTGACTCTTTGAAAAAGAGCCACTCTATTTAAATTGCTTTTTCTGAAGAGAGGAACCACCAGTGTATCCATGATGTCCCCAGTGAGTGCAGAGCTGGGTATAAATCACCACACAAGAGAGACACTGAGTTCCATTTGCGTGCAGGAGATTTCTGAGCACAGCTCCCATGGCATCCCAGTGGCCAAAAAGTATTGCAGTTCTCTGGTTTATGAATTATGGTTTGGGACTTGCTTGTCTTATTCTTTCCTTGTACATCTGAGGTAAGGTCAATTCTTCCCTGTCTATGGTGTTTCTTTAGATGGGAGAAAATAAAATCCCAGTGAACTTCTGTTGGTTAAAATCTTGTTAGAACAAGGTTTTGCACTCAGGACAAGGAAATATATGTGTGATTTTTTCTCTTTGCCTAGAACTTTTTCCATCAGTGTGAAAAGTCACTTCAGTTATATCTATCCCAAATTCATATTTACAGTTCTGTGTATCTCTGCAGTCTTGCACATATAAAATAAAGACTCATATGAAGATGCAAAAAACAAACCAAACCCTAGTGATTGTTTAAGCTAAAAAACCTAGATAGTGATGTAGCCTGATGGTGGCATTTAAAGCCCCATATCAGTCTCTGGACAGAAAGCTTTCCTTGAAGAGCAGGGAGAAGATCAAGGAGCAGCACAACTGCATTGTGCTGCATTGCCATTGTCAGTCAATGCCATTGACTCCATCACCAGGGAAGAAGGCTCAGCTTGGGTGAGCCCATAAATCCCTATTTAGATTCATAAAGCTTTAGTGAATTCTTCCCATTGTGCACAAGTGAGATCATGGCCCTACCCTGACACTCCTTTAAGGAGCTCCTGCTGCATGGTGTGTGAGCACAAACCCCAGGGCATAATAAAAGTTATGGATATTTTTGTTTTTACATGTTTTTATATATCTCTATGTGCAGGTGTCCGATGCAGTTACATATTATGCAGCTAGCCAGAAGACTTGGTGAAAACTTTTTAAAACCATATTGAAATACAAAGCTAACATTTGGATGTTGCCACATGGCTGAGGATGTGCTTTAGTTACCACAGAGCATTAAAGCAAAGTAAACCTCTCTCACTTCAATGTTCACCTGTCTGAGGGGAAATTCTAGGGTTTATTTTACTTCCTTTATTTTGCTTTCAGCTTTCTCCACAAAGCTATTGAACCAGAGTGTAAATAGTGAAGTCTGCATGTCAGAGAACCTGATAAATTGGGAATAATTATTAAAAAGCAAACCAGACATAGTTGAATCTCAAGACAGTGTGGTGCAAAACAATGCATTGTTGTACCTGCAATGATGTCATCCATTTGCTCCAAAGCTGCTTCCAGCATATGACTGGCATCAGAAGCCATCCTCTGGGATTTCTTCAGATCTTTCCTCCCTCTACTGAAAAGACAGAATAAACCATATGTGTTACACTAAATAGCCTGATGGCAAAATGTATGTCACTGTCACATTATGCATTGGGCTACACAAACAAAATCCATGCTACAGCTCAGTAATATAGCCTAGTGACACAAAAATACAGCCCAATAATAAGAAAACTAAAAAAAAAAAAATTCCTGTTCTTGATAGATGACTTGGGAGTTTTGATTCATTTTTTTTAAGAGATTTTACTAAAAGAGTCAAATGCAAATAAAAAAATCTCGAAGAATTTCAAATACTGGAAGCCCAAGATTCTCCCGCTCCTCATTCTTAACAATGGTTTCCTAGATTCAAAGTTCAGTGCATTTCAGCCTTTTCCTATGTGGGGAAAAAAAGAGGATTGACTAAGGTTTAATGAAGGAATGAAGACATGGGGCAGAACATCTTTCCTACAAGCAGAAATCTGTAGAAATTCTGCTTTTTGATTTTTGAGAGTAAAGAAAATTCTGAAATAATTTTTACTCCTCCTTTCTATATTCCCATTCAGTCTTTTCATCATCTCTTCCATGATACCAAAAATCCCATTTTTTCTGTTCAAATAACAAGAATGCCCCAGGTATGAGTTCTCTGAATTTACTGCTGCTGCTATAAAAGAGGATTAAATTCATGTTACCACCTGACACTGGGGATAACAAAATAAAAAAAGGAGAAAAACCTTCCAGAATGAGTCCCTGCTTGTGAGCTGGTGCTGCTGGACTCTAATGGTGTAAATGCCCCATGATTCCAATGCTACTGAAATGCCACAAATATGTGTTTATCATGGGATTATTCCTGCCAAGAATTCAAGTAGTTTGAATTGAAATAAATGTTACAATGGACATTTGTACCATCCAACCAAAATTTTCTTTTGGAAACTAAGAATCCTGAGACATGGGTTTTTCTCAAAGAAAGCTAATTTATTAAGAACCTCTGTGTTATCAGCATCCTGTGTTGATTCCAGTTAATGTAGATAAGCCCAGGACCCAGAGAGACAGAAGCAGGAATGAGTCAGGAGCTGCAGCATTCTCATTTGAACTCTGCCATTTACAGCTTGTCACAGTGGGTAAGCCACAATTTAACCTCACATCACATTGATCTGAAGAGCAGCGTGAGAATGCCTCATCCTCACTGTCACCCAAGGCTCAGATTAATGGAAATGAATCCATGGCTTTTGGTCCCTCAGTTTTTTTTGTCAAAACAATCTCTTGAGTACAAGCGATGCTAAATTTAACCAAAGTACACGTCACCCAAATATTTCGTTTAAGGGCACTGGAAATCACATAAACTGTGCTCAGAATAATCTGGAAAGTCATTAAGTCAGCTGATATAAAGTTAAAATTTCAGAGTGCTTTCTTTCACACTTTCCAGACACTGCCCCCCATCCCGCTGCTCTCGCTTGCTGGTTTTTGGGAGACCTCCATCTCCTGTTGAGACATCACAGGCCACCAAAGCCCTCCCAGCTGTTCCTGGCAGCGTTCCCTCTAGTTCAAAGCAGCCATCCCACGGGGAATGATCACCTCAGGGACAGGAAATCCACCTGCAGGTGGCCAACAGGTGCCAGAGGGGCACCAAGGCTCCGGTGCCACTGCCCCAGGAACGCGTGGCCACCAGCTGCGTGGGGAAACCAGGGCAGCAGATCTCTGGCTCACAGTTAGAAGGCAGGAAAAGGCTGAAAAACGCTAAATGTAGCATAGAATTTGTATTTCTAGGTTGCACTCCGTGGTTTTATCTGTGATAAAAGCAGCACACCACCGGAGCAGTGCCTGGCTGTTCGAACAAGGAATGCAGGGCTACATTTCTTGTTAACATCTGATGTGGTGTTTCATCACTCGTGGTGACAAAGGCACAGGAAATGCTGACACACTGCATTACAAACTTGAAAATTCACTGATGGAAAAGCCTCCCACCAAAGCCTTGGCAAAACCCAGGAAGTTTTGCTGAAAAACTCCACCAGAAGTGAATCTCCAATCTCCTCCACAGCCTGTTTTCTCACCTGCACCCACTGAGGCTTTGCTGCCTAACTGCATTAAGCCATAGCAAAACCTGCTGATCAAACAAGGATTTTTTAATGAAAGCAATGTTCTTTGCTCCAGAGAGATAATGTAATATTACTTGCTTGACATCTTTTTCTAGACAGACCTGTTGTGTGTGCTCCAGGCAAGTCTCACTTTCCCAGACACTCCCTCCTTACAGTTTGGCTGCTCTGAGTATTATGAAAAGAGCTTGTTAGATCTCCTGGGCTTTCAGCCACCATTTCTGATCTAATTCTATAGAAATATCTTTAGCTATGGATTTAAGAAAAATATTATTAAATAACAAGACACTTGTAACAGCCCCTCAAACGGGATCCATCTGTTTGCTGGTATTTTAATTACAAATATTTTTTTACAGTTTTCATTCCTGAATGACATCAACATATGCAGAGCACCATGACTTATTTACTTATGTAAATATATACCTATATTTAAAAGCAACCTCTCACATTACAGTACAAGCTTCAATATGGGCAAATTCTAACCTTCAGGATTTATTAGATTAATTCATATGCCAGCAAAATACAAGAACCAGGCTACTCACCTTTTCAGGTCTCTAGGAAGAAAAGAATTTAATTTTTTGCCTGACCAGTGAAAATTCCTTGCTATTAATAGCTGAAGTTTTACTGTTAAGCAGACATAAGACTAAATTATTATCATCCCTTCTAAGCCACATGCTCACATTAATTTAGAGCCCAGCCCACAGAGATATTGCAACCCTGTTTTTTCTAATTGCCCAAGTAATGACATCTTCCAGGAAGTGCAGACAGAGCAAACTGGTCTGAATTCCTGAAATTTATTTTGCTAAGATAGTTTTGCACGGTACATCCTAATCTGAGATTTGCATTCCAAATAAAATGAAAAATCTCTGGCAGAACTATAGTGCTCAGAGCCAATATCCCTTGCAAATTTCTTAGCCTACATTCTCTATGCAAAGCTACAATTAACTGTGTCCAAAGGAACATAATATTTAACAGACATCTTCACTGTGAGCAAGATGCTCTTCAGAACGATGAAAAGCCTTAATTAAATTAGAATCTTTCATGGCTGGCTTGAACCAGCAGCTGCTCAGAGATAAGAATATGAACAACATGAATTCCTGCAACTCAGATGTTTTCCCAAGGTTGCTCATATCAATGAGGTTATCAACTTTATCAACTGCAAGGGGTGTGCTTTTTGGTAGAAACTCCAGAAATCCAGACCTTGTCTGTGGCCCACAAATCCCTCTCACATTCAGCTGACACATGTAACAATTAACCACCACCACCTTTTTATTCCTAGGATGAATAAGTACATGCTTGTAAACTCTTTAAACACTCAGATCTGAGTATTACATTGCTTTGCACTTAATGGCATAATGAAATATCAAGTGCCTTGGGTAAGCTCAGAAGTCCTCCAAACTTTCTTTCAGCTGCAAGATGACTCCTGCCCTGGAATGCAGAACCCTGTCCATCCTTTTTTCCCCTTTTTTTTCCCCCAGCCACACTGTGTGCAGCATCCAGACAGGAGCACAGCCATTGATTCATCCCTCCAGCTCGTGGCTCCATCAGGTACAAAAGTTATAAATTCACAAAAAAAACCAAAAAAAAAAACCAAGCTTATTTTGAACTGGAAAGTGTGAAGTGCCCACAGGAAGGCAGAATGGGCAGCTCTAAAGAGAAATATGAATTAGCCAAAGTTGAACAAAGACCTGATAGCAAATCATTTCAGGTAAGGGTCAGAACTGCTGAAGTCTCTATTCAACAAGCTGCTGGGGATCCTTATAGGAGGGGATATCCTGAAGTGAAGCACCTTGGCACTGTAAAAGCCATATTTGTGTGTTACTGATGAAAGTCAGAGCAACAAGCCAAAAGCAATAATGCCCTTGCACACGATGTGCTAAATAATTTGATTTAAAATACGCAGCTAAACTCACTGCACTGTGAAGTGGCCAAGTCAAAACCAAACATCTCTTTTCAAAAATAAACCCATTAAGTTTGCTAATACAAGCCAGAATTTCGATTCTGAGGGGGAAACAGAAGGCAAAGGAAAAAATAAAGCCCCCTTTCAAAAAAAATGCTAGATCTGACTGATACTTGATGCTTCAAAACACAGATCAGCTCACAGCAGCTCCTCCCCAGGGCTGATGGATATTGAGTTACAGCTCCTCCTGGTACCATAACCAAATTTCCTGACTCATGTTTGCACAACGTCTCATCCTTACAATTAAGAGCTGACGCTGGCGGAATGGCATGTGCAAAGTGAGCTCTCTTCAGCCCCTCTCTGTAACACTTCCAGCAACTGCAGGAAGCCCTTCAGCCCTCAGTGCTGCTTTAAACTTTGTCCATAAAAGCTTAAAAAGGTCCTTCATCGTTTATTTTCATGTTATCAGATATCTGAAGTTTTCTGCGTTACACGCAGTATAAAGGAAAAATGGTATAGCTTCTGACTTTGCAAATCTTGAGGTCAAAATTGTGTTAAATGTTACTGTGTTAAGCCCAAAAAGTCTAATTATTTTAGTTAACTTTTTTGTCATCTGATTAGTTAAAATAAAAAAAAAAAGGAACACAATGAATAAATAGTTTGGATATAAACTTCAGCTGAACAAAACACTACCTGATAAAATACACAAGAAGAAAGCCTCTGAGCCAAAATATGAAAAAGTCCAAAAAGTCTAATTACTTCAGTTCCCTTTTCTGTCACCTAATTAGTTAAAATTAAAAAAAAAAAAAAAAGGCAACACAATGAATAAATAGTTTGGATATAAATTTCAGCTGAACCTGATAAAATACATGCGAGAAAAGTCTCTGAGCCAAAATATGAACATTTCTGCTCTTAAAATAAACACATACAAAAGTCAGATTTGGTATTGCAGTTCATATCTAGTTCAGAGAGTTTTGCAACTAAGAAAAGTTAAATCCTCAAAATTTCAACATTTAAAATAAACTGTGGGGGTTTTTTTATTATTTT